GATCGAACGTTTCTTGTAAGTTAATCTAATTGAATGATTTTTAATAAGGTAAAAATTAAAATTTTAAATGAGAAATATGAAAGTATAAAGCTATATGTTTTTTAAAAATTGCAAACAAATTCATTACAAAGAAGCCACATCATATTACAAATACACATACTAAAATTCTTATATGTTAAACGTGAATAAATTTTTTGTTCACAGAGAGGATGAGGGATTCATCAAAGAAGAGGAGAAACCTTTACCATCGCATGAAATGCAGAGAAAAGTTTGGCTATTATTTGAATATCCAGAAAGTTCACAAGGTGCGCGGGTTGTTGCTATAATCTCAGTGTTTGTTATTTTGTTATCAATTGTCATTTTTTGTTTGGAAACACTTCCCGAGTTTAAGCATTATAAAGTGTTCAATACGACGACCAATGGCACCAAAATAGAAGAGGATGAAGTTCCGGACATAACCGATCCGTTTTTTTTGATAGAAACTATATGTATTATTTGGTTTACATTCGAGTTATCAGTGCGCTTCCTTGCCTGCCCGAATAAATTGAATTTCTTTCGTGATTTGATGAACTTCATAGACATAATAGCTATAATTCCATACTTTATAACGCTAGGTACTGTAATCGCTGGAAAGGAGCATGAGTTCGATCTCCCAAAAGCACCAGTTAGTCCCCAAGATAAAAGTACAAATCAAGCTATGTCACTAGCGATTTTAAGAGTGATTAGACTAGTCAGAGTATTTCGAATATTTAAGCTATCGAGACATAGCAAGGGTCTCCAAATACTTGGAAGAACTTTGAAAGCTTCAATGCGAGAACTTGGACTACTCATATTTTTTCTTTTTATAGGTAAGTAGAATAATAAAAAATCTTTTTCTCATTTTCATGTCTGTCTTGAATGTACAATGAAACGGAATGTTGTTCTCTCTTGGGTTGCATCTATTTATTTATTTAGGGCGCCACTGAATTTTTGTACACAGTATCCAGAACTGGACTAGAACATAAAGTATGTCATCAGGGTCGTGAGAGGTTTCTAGGAAGAAATCAAAAAATTATTAAGAGAAATTCATTTTCGAAATTTATTTACTTAACCAACCCTTTTACAATAAGAAATCTCTTATACAAGAATTAACACTTAAAATTAAGCCTTATTCCCGTCTGCGCCCGACTCGGGCCTCTACACAGCGGTTTCTATCAAAGAAGCTATTCCCGACGATACTTCCTTGAAAGGCGTCCATATCACAGTTTCTTATTCACATTGTACTCCTGACGCGGGCGTCTATATAAAGGTTTTTCAGTTATTCCTTATTGCACCCCCAACCTGAGCGACTATGCAAAGGTTTCTATGTGTCTGCCCAGGAAACAGAGAAGGAGACCATGAATCCCTAGGCAGCACTGTAATCATACGCACCGACACAATTTAATTATTCCAAACCTAACACACTAAAATTTCCCCGAAATTTATTAATAATTTTTCCGCAATTTTAAAGATTAATTTTTCCAATTTTATTTACCCATTTATTGTTTAGTTCGCTTTTCCCAATTTAAAATCCTATCAACTAATTTTCCAAATCCAATTTCCAATTTATTAACTTCCCGCTAAGAAAGTCAATGATTTTCGGAAAATCGGGAAGTTATTGGATTTAGCCCGTTTTGCAAAAATCGAGGTTTCAACA